CTATGTATAATATGTGTACGTTTTATACCACCAATATTACCTTTATAGGCTCGTAGCTTAAAAATTAGCATATTTTGAGGGTTGTGCGGATTTGAACTTTTTATCGCCGGCATCACACAAACTACAGTTTTCCGTAGTTTTCGTCGATTTTAACGGTGGCCACTTTTTTCATATAATTAGTGCGTGGTCCTTTGAAATTGTATGATACTAATGCCAAATATATTATACGAAATCGACAGAAGACGATTAAGATAATATAACGGTGTTTATTCTTTAACTATAGAATTTCACATTTTAAAAATTATTGTTAATTATTATAAATTTCACATAAATGTGAAAGTTTAAATCAACGCTCAAATAATAGCTTCTTGCTTGCAAAATTTGGCATTTATCTGAAAATTAAAATTATAAAATTACGATTATATTTTTCAAAATTATGAGATACGAAATTCGTAAGAATTTAAAAAAATGTAATATTAATTTTGTAATTTTAATTATTGTAATTCGTTATTAATTGAAAATTACATATTTTGAAGAATTTGTTTATAAATTTTACTTTGATTTTATTAAATATTCGATATTTTACGATGTTATATACCGCATTTCCATGTGGTTGAATACGATCGCTATTTCGGGCTTTTTCGCTGTTCCTCGCGTCAGGTGACCGTTAAGAAATAAGTTCGTACCGGCGCGACGGAGAGTCGTAACGATTTTTAATATGGAAAGTTATTAGTTCGTTGCCCCGTTGAAAATCGAAGACCCCTGTTGTGGAACCAGAATTAATCTCTGGTTTTCTTATATCTCGGATCCTCGAAAGCAGTGGTTTCGGCATGAGTACGCGACATCAATTCGCGAAATTAATTAGAATTATATATATATATATATATATAAGAAAAGATTTTATTCTTCTTAATAAAATATTCTTACATTAACGCTAATATCAGTCATGCTTCTGTTTTGCTGATGAAAAGACATTAAAGTAGATATGGATAAAATAACTGTTTATAAAATAAAAAGAAAAAAGAAAAAGAGAAAAAAGGAAAAAGAATAAAAAAGAGAGAGACAAAAAAATAAAGAATACATTTAGAAAGAGAAGAAAACAAAAAATGTTGCAGAATACAATCACGCTACATTTTATGATATAATGTAGTTACAAAACTATATTTTATTTTTCAATTTTTTCTCATAGAAAACCATTTCTAAAGATTTTGCCACAATATCCATATTAATTACCAAATGCATATATTTCATGCATTTTGTTATTAAATATACTTGTTTGTAACTAATTCTCGATATCAGTTATTCTATTATAAATTTTTTTAATAAGAGAAATATATATCGTAATGGATATATATTTTAATTATAATAAGAAAGAAATACACCTTAATAATGGAAGAATATTTTAAGTGTAGTTATACGGTCAGGATGCAATGATTTAAAAAACGACTGTCGTTAACTCGTTGCTGAAATGACCGCTATCGGGGGCAATCCGGAAGATCAGGGATTCATTCCTTCCTGCAGCGGGGCCCTTGACATTCAACGGGTTATTATTAAACTTTCTTTCTCGATCTTTTGATTTCTCTGGGCTCGAGAAATCAAGGTATATTCAGCTCACTTTCCATCTTAAGAGTCGTTCTTCTCTACGTCAGCAACTGACGGGCGTGTCATCGGCGGAAGGACTTGCTCTGATAAAATTGGTGGTCTAGTTATTTCTTATTTGATCGTTGACTTGAACCGCGAAATTTCTCGGATTTTTTTCTATAATAAAAACATTTAGTAATAAAAAGTTAATGTTTTATTTTTTGCAGTTTTTGTATTAATCAAATTCCTGATTTAAAAGTAGTAAATTTTGATATTATTATACTTATTTCGAACGCCTTTGTGTAATCTGGCATTAGTAAAATATCTCAAATGTATGTATTTGTAATATAAATGTAAGTATACATATATAAATATCTCGAATTTCTTTGTAACGTATTATATTTAAATTTATTGTATTTTATATAAATATACAACAATTCTGTACATTTTCTATTTTTTAATGTAAAATAAATTTAATGTAAAATAAATTTTTAAAATGTAATTTCTACGATAAGAAAAAATTATAAATAATAAAAAAGCACACATGGAAAGAAAAGAGGACCGCCGATTAAAGTCGGCGGTGGTGGTGGAGGGTTTCCACAGGTTGGTCCGTTTGCCAAAGTTTTAAACTTTAAATTGAATATGTATATAGTTTGTTGAGACAAATTTCTACTTTATTTAAAGTCTCTCTAATATCATATCCGGTGAAAACGTAACAGCCTGTATAATTCGAGAATTCAGTGAATATCAGCGTGGTACGTAGAGGGTGTTGCAGTGCAGTATACAGGTCAGTATGACGGATTGTTCATTTGTGGAGACACGCATGGTCATTCACAGCTGTATTCACTTTGACGCATTGCATTATATGTGAGTGATTATAATGTACAAAGCGTGGCCGGATCCCAAATTCGAGACCGTCGATCCTCACGCACGCCTTTCAAAGAATTATCTAATTCCTACGAAGACGCATCAATAACAATTATTTATACATAAATAAATATTTAATGTTGCATTTTATTAATAATATAATATAATAATATAAAGCTAGTTAGATAAAACAGATTTATCAAGAAATAATTTCATGGAAAATAACTATTATCTCTGCCTGTTTCTTTGCATAAAGAAACATAATTATATTGTTAAGGCAGTATATTTTTTTATTATTATAAAAGAAATAATAAGTGAATATAAAAAAGTGTGTAATTAATTTAGTAAACTTAATATTTATTTATTAATAACTTATCAACTTTAACATCTTTTTACTTCATTAATTCCGAATAATAAACTTCTCGTGTAAAAGTGTAACAGAAAAATATTCGAAAATTTAAATCACAGATAACACATAAAAACTCGAGATAGAAAAAATTAATCTATTTGTTAAAGGATTTAAATTATCTGATATTTCTTAACCGATTATGCGTATATAAAATTTATCTAAGAATAATAAAGTAAAATAAAAAGAATAAGATAACTCTATTGATTTTATCTATCCTTTTTATAATGGAATGCAAGCAACAAGGGATTCGTATTCGCAAGGTCGCAACCTTCTAACTTTGTTTGAAATTATTTGATCGCGTTAGGAAAGTTCTTCTGTTCTGAAAACGTCTCGAAAAATTTTCGTAAGTAGCCGGCGACGAGGGTTCGATATACGACGTTTCCCTTTCCACCCTTTTAAAGGGCCGCCTGCTCGCCCGCGGGCCCTCCTTTATACTTCGCAACTGTATTACCCATGATTCGAGGACCCCCTGTAAAATTTTCTTTTATTCAGGGGGGTTATCGACTTATCCCCGATATCGTCCGACGTGGTTTCGATCATATTGTCCCTGTGCGTACCTCGAGGCGTATTCTGTAAGGAAACGGCCACTCGAGAACGGAATCGTAACGGCCGCGGGTCAATCCAACACCTACGAAAACCGTGCCGTCGGGAAAATATTTCGGAGCGATTCTTAGATACATGGCGTAGCCGCTGCGACCCGCGTAGAAGGTAGGGCTGCGCATCGAACGGCCGGTCTGCCAGCTTGCCAGCATCACGTTGAAGTTCCTCACCTGCCAGTAATAGACGAACGCATTCATCGAACCTGGAATATGGATGATTGTTAATTTGAAATTTTAATTCTCAACTCATATTTATTTCCTTCTGTTGACGTATTATTTTTATGTGATCTTTTATGTAAAAAAACATAGAGATTTTCGTGAATTAAGTTATCAGATATTGGATCTAGATAATTTTATTCTTGATATCACACGAGGCGAGTACTCTAATTAACAGACTAATTAAAGAATCGAAAATTATTAAATTAGAACAAAGTATGCTTCAAACGATAAAATCTCGTGTTTTAATTAATTTGGAGTAAATCTTGCGTCAACAGTTAAATTTATAAGATATTACATAATGTTAAATTAAAAATTACTTTAAAAGTTAACTATTTATAATATTAAATATTCGCTCAAATAAGCCTGCCATCAAATTTTTACCAAAAAGGATTAATGTATAAATTTACTAAAAGATTATTAAATTAATGATACAAAATATTTTAAGTAAATAATTATTTACATAAAAATTGATTGATTTATAGCCATACTTATTATAATGTTTGATAATTTATTGCATATATACATTAATAAAATTAAAGTTTAATAATATAACTATAAATTTAACAGCGGTCGTATTATAAGTTTTACCGGTTTCTCAGTGGATTACACGAAGCTTTTACTATTCAAACGCAACGGAGTTAATCATGTACCGCAACTCGAAATAAATCTCGGTACTTCGTTCCACTATTCATTTTGTTTCAATCGTGTTTATCCCGACTTAAGCTTCAGCTTTGTCATTCCATGGACAAGGCGAACTCTCACCTTCCCTCCCTTCTCAGTGTAGAATCCATTTACATAAAACCATGGATCTCTTACATACAAATGCTTAGCTTAGGCTATGAATAAGTATAACAATGCATATTATGCAAGAAATGTAAGACTTCTACACGCGTCATCCACGTAATATTTCGGGTCTCATTATTCCAGAATAGAATCTCGCACACACATGCACATGCGATAACACATACGAAGTTAAAATGTCACATCTTGCGTAGCCTTAGCTTCTAGAAAATGGATTATAACATTACAATTTGAATTGTAAGCGACTGAAAAGAAAATTATTTAATTTTTTGTATTAAACTTTGAAGCGCGAACGAATTGCGCAAAAATTATTTGTTTGTTTAGAGCTTAAATTAAAATTTTGATAACTATATATTTTATGGCAATTATTAAAATTTGCAACACAAATTATTATTTATTACAGATGTATTTATTATTTATTTGAAATTCATTTAAAATTAAAATTTTAAAGAAAGAGATTCAGAATGCGTTCTGCGATACATTGTTTCTTAGAACCAATATACGTGGTCTGTTTAAAAAGTAATGAGACTGAATTTTTTTTCTCAACAACTAGTAACACTGTCAAAACGAAACTGCAGTGGATCGAAAGCTACATTCATATTCTACTTTCAGTTAAAATTTCAAGTCGATAACATTAACATTTGTGATTCTACAATCATTTGTATAAGGGCCAAAGCACATATGAAAGTTGTAGTCGTGGACGTAAGTAACGCACAAGCTTTGGCGTATCCTGATCTGTCATGCAGGTCGGAGACTACGACCGTCGTATATCGCTACGCCATGTTATGTGCTTTGGCCCTAACAGTATGTTTGGGTGACGCGTCACAAAATTGGAACATAAGAATATCGAGCAGCGTTATGCGACCAAATTCTATGTCAAACTCCAGGACAATGCGATGGGAACATTTAAGAAGTTGAAACAGACTTACAGAGATCAAATTCTATCCCGGGCACAAGGCATTTTTAGATGATGGTGAAATTATGAAGATGCCATGAATCCCGTTTTTGACCAACAATGACATCGTACATGGGTTATTACATGGGTTGATTATCGTGGTTGTTTATTTTATAATTTACGTCATGTATATGTATACTTGTTTCTAATATAAATACCAGGGTACGTTCTTATTTTTATAAAAATATTATCATATAAAATGAATTATTTTTGCTGTTCAACAAATCGACTTCAATTTGGTTGATGATGTAAAGAAGGGTTCTTAGTCATTGAGACATAAAGAGTATATTGCTGGGTAATAATTATTAAGCAAGTGTATATTTTCGTGTAAATTTTCACATATTTTTAAATCAATCAAGATTAAATCATAGTTCTACGCAACAAAGTCCAGGTCGAACTACCATTTATGATTATTAGGCAGGGGCAGGTTTATTTTGTGGCCATTCTACTCCTGCGCCTGCTGGGTCTGCGGATCTCCATGGTTTGACGCAACGATAATAATTTGGATCACACACAAGTCCCGTGCAACACTTTACCGTGGAGGGATGAAAGCACTGAAAAAGATTACGCGAGATTATTATCTTGCACGATGTCTTTCGTATTACATAATTTAATTATTTAGACTTAAACTCAATGCACTTTCATCACTTCTGACTTAATCCGTATTATCCACACATTTATAAAATTGTTCCCTGTAATCAACACTCAAATCTTGTCATTACTCACTACTTAAAATATTCAAAATGTGACACTTTATACAACAATATATTTTACTGTGTATATATATATATATACATATACATAAATATATAATATAAATAACAATCACAAGTATAAAAATCTCACTACATTTGTTAAATTTTCAATTTATGTCATCTCTATAAATTACATATAGAATCCATTATATTTTTAAAAAGTATACTATTAAGTTATATTAATTAATTTAATGGTTTTCACGAAACAAATATATATGAATTAATAAAAAATGTGGAGATACACACATATATGACATATATTACAGTTCAAAACATAATATCATGCAATGGTACTTACACTCCATCCTTCCCACATGCAGGTCATGACCGAAGTCATTGCGAGAAGCGTAAAGCAAAGAAGCACGATGAATTTTCCCATTTTCGATTTATTGCTTGAGAGATTTCCTGTTTTATAAAGTATATATAGAACTATTGAGAAAGTTGAACAATACTTTTAAACTATATAGAGATGAAGCTTTCGTATCCTCACCTGTAGTCAGCTCAGTGAAATTCAAAGTGAATCAGTTCAGTGATCGCTCAGCTTATATACAGAATCATTGGTGCATAAAAATATAGAAAGATAATCTCTTTAAGTATGTGAGTGTGCACCTTGAAAGTTTTTATCAGCCTACGTCCTGTTTATACCCGTCGCTAATATCTATTATCGTTTATCAGGCTTCATCAATAAAATAAATAAATTTTTCTTGTAAAAAAACTTAGCGCTGCTTTTTTATTCAATCAAAAATTCTGTGCTTTATTAAATTCAATCAAAATTTTAATACTTTATTAAATTTCAAGGTCGAGTGTAGCGCCAAGTTTTTTTACAAGAAAAATTTATTTATTTTATTTTAATTAAATATTTTTATTTTGTACTGTTATCTCTTTAATTCTTTGTGATTAAAATAATTCTTTGTAATATTATAGTTTTGTTTAAAAAAATTAAAGCTTTAGTTAAAACGAGAAGACCCTTGAATGGGAATATAAAGATACGTACCACTTGAGTTTTATTTTTTTAAAGTAGTCGCGCAACAATTATTTTTAAAAGTATATATGTTCTCTTTGCAATTGGCGCAATTTAAAGATTTCACATCTTTTTTTGAAATACATATCACTTGGGTTGAGTTAGGTAACGCAATTTTGTGAATTATTTTGTTAGGGAGAAATAAAGCTACTACCATTTAAGATTTTTGGATTTACAATATACATTGCGCGTGTACTTAGCGCCTTTTTTACCTTTTTTTTGAAAAAGGTAATTTTGTACTGATATATATATACACACATATAATACACATAGAGTGTCCCATTTTAATCAACCCCCAAAAACTTTTTTATTTGTGATTCTAGAAAAAAATGCTTTAGACGAAAGTTGTTTGGTTTGAAGGAGGACATATAATTTCAATGTAAGTCGTGTCATACATATCATTATTTTCAAAAAATTTTAAAGGAGACACAAACGGCTTTGCAATATGGTTCAATAATAATGCGAAAAATCACGTAAATTTTAATAAAAAATAATTATTTTAATGCAAAACATGCGTTATCCGACCTGTGCGCACTATTGGATAACTTTGCGCGTTAATAAAAAAATCAGCGTTTGTCGTACGAAAAAAATACAGAGGTTCTTTTTTGTTGCAAATTTTGTCCACAATAAGATGCATATGATAAAATTCGTCTCAAATAAATTCTAAGGACTGAAAACGGCGAAAAACTAAGACTATTCCAAAAAATCAAAATTTTTTGTTTACATAGTTACAAACTAAAGAAAAAGGGTCTAAAAAATCGGTTGCATTATGAGAAGTATTCTTTGTAGTTTTCAGAAAATGTGTGATTTTTGGGGGATTTTTAATTCCATTTTAAATGACGGAAAAAATCACCGGCGCAACATCAAAAAAACGATGAAATCGAGGGTTTTCGAGATCCGAGTCTCGGACTTTGACGGCGCGTGCAAGCTAAACGACTGACTTGACGATAAATGTTGTTCAGATCATTATTGTAGATAATTTTAGGCTCTACAAAAAAGATACGTATAGTTAGTTACCCTATCTTGCTTAGTTTTCGAGATATTTGAGAAAAAATAAAAAAATTGCGTTTTTTGTTGATAATATTGTTAATAACTTTTTATTGCGCATTAATTTTGCGAAGCAAAATAAATCCCACTTATAGCACCTCAAATCAAAGCGATTCAAGATGGTTGCAACCTGGGAAGATTAATTGGAAGATTCGATGTCTAATATGACTGGCCTAAGAATTTATCGTGTCAAACTTCGCATAACGCTGCTCAATTTTCTTGTGTTCCATTTTCGACGCGTCACCCAAACATACTGTTATACAAATGATTGTAGAATCACAAGTGTTAATGTTATCGACTTGAAATTTTAACTGAAAGTAGAGTATGAATGTAGCTTTCGATCCACTGCAGTCCCGTTTTGACAGTGTTACTAGTTGTTGAGAAAAAAAATTTAGTCTCGTTACTTTTTAAACAGACCACGTATATGTTAATAATTATAATATAAAAATATTAAAATAGAAGTTTCTTTTCAGTTATTGTACAGATGTATAGTTAATTGAAACTTAACAACACTTGTAGTTGTTACAAGATTGTTCTTTCGTTAGCAAGTTTACTAATCTCATTCATACATGCAAAATAGATAGGCTGTTGTATAGTAGCGGAGGCACTTGCGAAGTTTTGAGCACTTCAAGTCCACCAGTTGCACGAAGAACTCCATATTTAGTTGAGAGCGTAAAGTTAACTTTAGAGTCTACTGCTATTATAAACTGCGTTAATAAATCATTTTTCTATACGCGCTAAAAATTACTTAAAAATTTTTATATATCACAAAGAATATTATAGGTAACATATTTTGATCCATAAAGCACAGCTAGATTATTTCGTAATGATTGCACTAACCGTTCAATACTGACAAATTTTGCATGGTATTGTTGAATTTATCGATTTCATCTTGCCTCGGGGATAAATAACCGTTGAACGTTCCATGAAGATTAGCGTTTCTTACACTTTTCAAATAATTCGGTTGCTGCTCTAGAATGCTGTAAAGTAACCACTTAACATCCGCAAATTCCTTGCTCAACTTTTCCTCCAGACTCGCGAATTTTTCGTCTATCGTCTCTAAAAGCATGCGTATTCATCGATTAATGGAAAATCATAAGAATTGACACTTGGATGCGTAAGAAGTTTTCTTCTAATAAAATTTAAATGATCAGAATTACTTTTTTGAAGAAAGATACCTAAGTTATTGTCTAATGATTTCATTTTTATTCTCTTCTAACTGATTGCAGATATTATTGTAAATATTATGTACGTTGAAAGATAATTGCTATAGCGTTCTTTAATATGTGTCAAGATAATATTAATATTATAATATTTATAGTTAATTCAATACTAATATTTATATTATAATTTTAATTTTATCAATATATTGTATTTTATCAATTTTGATTTTTACTCACTCGATTTACATACTCCAGTGAGTACTGTTGTAACAGTGGCACGTGCATTCGCGACCACATCTTCCGTTGCGATCTTGCAAGTGGTATGCTGCGTTTTCGTGACATCGTCGCTGCTGACATTGGCCTCAATCGTCGCTAAAAATTGCAATGTGTCTGTAGATAAATCTGTATTTTTTAGCGAACGCGCCAAAGAAAGTGCGTGCAACTTTGTCAAACATATATAGATTATAAAACGATTTTTATACATGTAATTTTATGACAAAACTGTATTCTCTCTTCGAGATTACAAACTTTTCCATATTTTGAAGTCAGAAAAATTTATCATAAAATATTATATTGAATATAATAGACGTTTAATCTGTTTTCTATATTTTTATTTCTATTATTTTATTTTCAGATTTCATTAAATTTAACAAACAGAATTATTATTTAATAATTTTATATACCATATATATATTATTAATTATGCACAAATCTTATACTTCTTGTCTATATAATAAATATAAAGGAAAAAGAATGAGTCTTAATTCAAGACTTAAACAAGACTTAATTCAAATAATGATATCATCTAATGTATGTTTCTAATTTTTGAAATTGATTTATCGAAATTCTAGCTCTGCTGTGAGTTTTACTAGTTACGCAGCACATATTAAGATAGGATTTTTAATTGTGTTGTTATTTATTAATTTTATCGGGCACTAGAAGCTATTAGCACGTGATAAACAACTGTTTCACACCTACGTGTTTTCCGCAAAGATTCACTCGCACCACTGCATGCCAAATAGAGTGAAAACAGTGATATGGAATAGCGTATGATCTTCGACATCTCGCCGCACGTGAACGACGCGTTGTGAATTCATCACAACGTGTGGCCGAAATTATAAACAGCGAGTAGCTTCCACTCGCTCTTAAAAATAGATTTTATCGTCTTCTTACCGATGAGAAGGCGTTAAAGAAAAATTACGTAGATAATATAGCGAGATACTTCATAAAAAATTATTTCTCATTATACGCGGCGTGCATATTATTCTATTATGTGTAGAATTTTCAATATTACTTCAATAATATGTTCCGGTTTTATCAATTGTATCTGTATTCGAATTTTAATTTAAAAAATAAATATTCAAATTAAATTATTAACTATACAAAAATTTTATTTTGAGCGATTAATTCAATTGGCAAGTGCCGATTAAGTTAATTGCCGATTGAGCTAATCTGAGTATGGTCAAAGTCGTTTTAAGCTGCAATTATCGTCGAGTTTAAACATGAATGTCGGTTATCATCAAGATAGATAAAAAGACTCACTTAATACAACTTGACGAAAATGACATGGAATGAAAAAAAATAACTTGAAAAATCGACTTTTGAAAGTCGTTTCTGGAAAAAAAAATATACGCATATTTACGGAATGTTACAAATAAAAAACAAATAAAAAACTCAATTTTTTTATCAGCTCTATGAATCTTCCCGGGACAAAAATTTTCATATAAAATTATAATACAGAGTGAGTTTGATAGAAAGTCTACCACGTTTTTCTCGAAAACGATTAGAGATAAGGGAAGACACCAGCTATTATCAAAATTGTAGGGCAAGTAAGGGCACATACTTTGATGACTTTAAATAACCTTGAGTGTCCACTTTTCACACCAACAATAAAAAAAAATGTTTTTAATAGAAAGGGATACTTTCTAGTCACTCTATCGATAGTACTCAATGGGCTTAATAATTTTTGTATCAGAGTATTTTTCGAAAATTTAACTGTTATCGGGATATATCAACAAAATAAGTCAGAATACAAGTTTGGAACAAATTTTCTTATTACTACAGTAAGTGTTCAAAATTTTCACTATGTTAATCCAGACATGCCTGGTAGTCTTCGCAAAAAACTTGCATTTCTTCTAACTCTTGTATGATTATTTCACGAAAAATTCTCGTTCTACCACTCGAGAACGTATAGTAAAAAGAATAAAAAATATTTTTTGTGAAATAATCATACAAGAATTTGAAAAAGAGCAAGCAAGTTTTCAGCGAAGATAGGTACTTTTTTTACTAAAAGTTGAAATTTTTGTTGGCACACGATTTCTGGAATGTAAAGAAATATTCGCTTTAGAAGATGTACAATACAAGTGTATGTTATTACATATTTGTAACAATTATTACGTAATTTCCTTATTGCACACATACGTATTCACAATAAAAAAATAACTCACGGAGAGGCGACAAGATGTGTTTATAAATCGCATGCATTATTCAATTGGCTGATTCATTAGCGCGAACAATCATTTAACGTGAAATGTTTTGCGATGTTCAGCAAACATTTAGTCAAAGCGAAGAGTACTGCTAAGAGTATTTCCGGTCTGTCTCCCTCCTTAGAGAGTGACTTTCGTCACTTTTTCTTTATTTAAACTCGCTTTTTATATTTATTTATGCCTTTGAATTTGTTTTAACATTGCCGTATTGAAGGCTATGAAAGTATAGATTGTTATTGTTTAACTGTACCTTAATACTCATGTTAAATATAACGCAGTTGATGGTCCAATAAGAGAATTTCTTTTTCGAAAACGTATTTCTCTCACTGGATTATCAGTATTACACACGATACACGCGTGCCATATACCTGCTGCTAGTTTTGTAGTTTCTTAATATCTTTCTGAATATAAAATTAAGTTAGTTTTATGTTAATTATTTTTTTATTTAAAGTATTATGGAGTGTAAAATATAATGTATTCACTCTGTTTTGTGTTGCTTTAACTTAACTCTGCTCCGTGTATATTATACATCCTTTTTAATAAATGTACGTAATTTATAAACTATGACTGATTTATTACACACAAATGGTAAATAATAATGACAAAATAATAATCAGCGATGGTACTTAATATCACCGTCAATACTAAACAAATCGAAATTATGCTATAAATAAAATAATTTTCGATATTTAATTATTAAAAAATATTTCAGTTATAACATAATTTCGATTTGTTTAGTATTAACGTTGATATTATGTACCATCGCTGACTCATTATTATTTGCCATTCTTGA